TCTTCGCCTCTAATTGCGGCTGTTCCGTTGCCATGGCGCGTGTTGCTCAGCGCTGTGAGGTGCTGTCTGTGTGTGTGTGTGTGTGTGTGTGTGTGTGTGTGTGTGTGTGTGGCAGGCAGATGATTGCTTGCTGCCAGCTCTCGTTTCCCGGACGCCGATCGCGTTTCTTTGCGGCAGCAGGAAAAAAAAATGAGACGCCAGAAATAGCCCCCCTTCACACAGACCCACTCACTCTCACCGCTGCGCTGTCAGAGCGAAACACACACGCATGCAGAGGCAGACGCACACACACAAACACGCATTCGCTGCATTTCCTCTCCTCCTGACATCCTGAATGCATGTGACCTGGGTTATACTGTATGTAGACACCTTCTCGCGCACGCACAGGCGGCGGCGGTGGCGGCGGCGGCGACGTGCGCTCATGCGCACCCGCGTGTGTCCGGCTTCCTCCCCGTGCACGTATGTGTGTGCGCTTCCTGCGTCTCTTAGGAGGTTGTGTGGGGACTCCTGATTTATTTCACCTTTAATGGGAAGTGAAATGAATGTGAGCAGCAGCTGGTCTGCTCCTCGGAGATACCGCGGTAGGCTAACCCAGAAAACAGGCTGCGCTGCTCTGAAATGGTCCTTACTCTGACAAGCGCCAGGACACGCCACTCCACGCTCCACTAGCTGCACTGTTGGTTTTATTTTAAGCCGTGTTTAGACATTTAGTTGACACCCTCACCCAGAACGAGAGCAGGTAGGTCCTCGTTACAGGTTTATCTCCAACCTCTGGCCAACCCAACTTGTGGTTTTCCTCCTGTCAAAACTTTTCAGAAGCTCAGTGGAAGGTAAATGGAGACAGATTAATAGCAAATAAACCTTGCAACCTCACGCTGCAAAAGAGGATAAGAGAGGATTATAACCAGATTTGTGGACGAATCTCCATAATCATCTTCTGTGCTGTTCTCCTGCAGTTCTCACTGGTTTTATAAGGGAAGGGGAAAAAACTGCTTATTTTTGTACTTGCTGAGTCTGATAAAGTTGAAGTGCTCGAAACCCGTAATTTAATCACTTAACCAAGATGTTTACCAAAATCAGTCAACCCAAATTATGTCATCAGTTTGGGTCAATCTATTCCGTCAGATAAGCTGAAAACATGTTTTTATTGTTAGAGCTGTCCCAAAGATCGCACTTAGTATTGGTATTACAGCTAATTATTTATAAAATAGGAAAAATGTATATTTCCGACTCTGTTCCGACACCTCGGATGGTAAAGTACATGGATTTGCTCAGTTCAGACTGCAACAAATCTGTTATCTCTCATCTCTTGTTAGCAAAGATCAGTGTAAAAATATTCAGCTAGCAGCTTCTCATTTCTCATTCAAGTGCTGGCTGTCGTGTTACGTGGTTAAAATGACAAAAGTTGCTGGCAGCAGATCCTTAATTAACATTAATTCTGCCAATAACTTGATGGCAGGCCAGTATACAAATGATCTGTTCTGTCTCCTGTTTTAACACCGCTGTACAACCACGAGTCGACTGAGCGTTTCTTTTGTCCAAACTCCAACACAGTGAGACGAATCTTATGAATATTTTAAATCTGGCTTTATAGTTTTGAATCTTCAGTATTTGGATAAAGCATCTTGTGAAAAAAAGGCGTTCCAAATATTTAAGGGAACAACTGATTTTTAAATACGCCATACACATGTTTGATCAACATGTTGGATGTTATTGTGTAAAACCAAGGACCTGCAAATGCCCTTTTTAAAAGACTCGGAATTGGAACCTTGGTATCTTGGAATCGGGAATTTACTCAGCAATATTGCTCATGAACACCCAGTAGTTGCACTAGAAAATGAAAAATGAGGGGAATTAGTCGGGCACGCGGCCGCAGATGAAGAAGAAGAACTTGTGCAGGAAAAAAGATGCCATGCTGCGAGTAAACTTCAGTAAAGGCAGAGCAAAAGCTTCATGTTAATAGTTTTGTAAAATATTTGCAGGTTTGATAATGAACACAAGCTTTTGAGAGATTTTTTCAATCAAGCTTCATTACACACTTCGTACGATTCCCATATAGCTCCATTATGGCTTACTATGTTGAAGCAGGGTAAAGAAACCACTGTATTTCAGTTAAATGTGTGAATTTCGGTTTACTAAGTTTAAGAAACTGTATTTTTTAGAATATTTTTGTGATCATCATTAGCTTTTGATGTCAAATAAGATCTGTGTTAAGACAATCAGCACAGTAAGCTTCAGTCTAAACCTTTTGTTAGGCCAGTTACATTTTTATCTTGAATTATTGTGTTGCTTTCTTCTGTTGTTTTTGAGCAATTGGGTTTTAATTACTTCTTGTTGTCTCTATTACTGATTGAATAAACTTCAGTTTGAAAACAAAATGTAAACTTGTAAATTACAAACTGTCAGGAGTATGTCAGGACTTTATGTCATCTATTGTCTATTTATTAAGTTACTTTTTTTAATTGTAGTATTTGTGAAATGGAATTTATGTCCACTTAGAGAATAGGGTTCAATTTAATTTATTGTTGCCAAGGTACATTTTGTAATGGTCATGCCATGAATTTGAACATGAACATGAAAATGTGTGAAGTACCAAAAACTGCAGTTCCTTGAATGACCACTTGAGGCTGGTTCCATAAATGTCCATGTTAAAATGCTCAAAGTTACAGCAGAAATAAACATATTTACTGTCTGGTACAAAAAACAGTTTTGGTCTCCATAGCCTAATGCCCCGCTCACGAGAACTGTGCAGTGTGAGAATTTTTATTTTTATTTTAATTTTTAATTTTATTGAAGCCTAATATTATGCATAGTTAACCTGCTTTGACTGAGAGGTGGATATTGTCACAGGACAGTCTGTGGCTGTTGCCGCTCCACTCCCATTCCACCTCTTTGCTGATTTTTTGGATTTGTCATGAAGATGGCAACAGCTGAGGCAAACACTGACCTTCAAAGCCGCTGTTCAGAAAATCTATGTCAGGGAGGGACTGTCCATCATAGTATTGTCACATTAATTGTGACCCTTTTGTATGGTTACTATAAAGAACTAAAGCCGTGACTACAGTGATTAAAAGGCTCAAGTGATCTCAGTGGTAAGATTTTATTTAATTTTTTTCAAATTATGACCACATTTCCCCAAAATTTTACCTGCTTCTCACGACGTACAACATTTATGCTGTTTACCTTTTTTCTGGCATCCACGTGCTTTTCTTTTCTTACGTTGTGCTTCAGCAGTGTGTTCAATTGATTGTCTATTGGATTTTCAGTCCTTTGACCATCTATCATGGAAGGAAACTCTCTTCAAGGATAGTTGTACCAATATATTTGATGTTTCTCCTCATGCCAACAAATCCCATTGCAAGAACTAAACCAATGAGAGATTTCTCCTGTCTGTGCAGCCTCATTTTGTTGTCAAAATTTTTTTTTTTAATGTGGAGTCGGCCCTGCGATGTCTTGGTGTTGTAAATACCAATGTCTGTTAATCCGCAGCTGACATTTGTTAAAAATTGTAGTCGCCTACTGTTTGAGGAAATCACTTTGACTTTTAAAAATAAACAGCCGCTGCCGCTGATATATTTTTCTTGTGTTGGTCTGTTGGAATAGAAAGTAATGCTGTTCTAATTGTGCTTGTTAGGCCCATTTGGTTAGGCACCAATTAGAATTTTGGTGTACGTGCCTTATTTTAGTAGCTTGGCTAGTGTCACTGTTAGCCAGCGAGGCTTGTTTGTTCATGTTCAGTGATGTCTCAATATTGGCAACAGTGTTGTGAAGTGATTCATGTGGAGGATGGCTCAAGACACAGCAGTATTGCTATTGCCAAAGATTTCACCAAAATCATTACCATTTTTAAAAAACTGGCAGCCGTTCTCAGCCTCTAACTGTATGAGTCACGTTGTGATAAGTGAATGTAGAGTCTCACGTAACTCCTTGTAACCACAATACAACGGTGGTTCTCTCTCTCTCTCTCACACGGTTGGTTTTGCATCTTCCTTCCCCTGCGGGACACGGGCAGCTTGGGGATGAGTTTCCCGACCAAGAGGTCAACCACCAGTGGCCACTTAGTTCACGCTGCACACCCAACCCAGGAGCACAACACATGCAGAGAATGCCATGAGCCGTGCGCGGTTTGATTCTCTCGCTAATAGATCAATAAAAGACATTAGTGGCGGGCTAACCCAGCGTGCAGCGCTAATACAGGGTTAATCCAGGGTTAATGGCTGAGCAGCATCATTCTCGGAGGCAGCCATTAGTTCTCAACCGCGCCATACAATATCAGGTTCTTCTCCTAGTCGTGCCCCAGGTTCCCGGGAACGGGGAGGGAAATTGAAAAGAAAGGAACGGAGGATCGCCCTCGTGAGTCGAGATGAAAATGAGATATCCAGACAGATGAAACCGAATGCAAAGAAATGGGAGAAATATCTGAGGGAGGCTAAGCAGTGTGTCGGAAGCGTGCGCGGCATGAATAAGGAGGACGAGATGGGACGGTGAAATTGTGGTCAGGAGAGGCAGGAAACTGAGAGGAGAGAAAGGGGTGAGAAGGAGAGGAAGGGAGTTGAGCGCTACACATCTCCCTGTCCTTGTAAAGTGCTGCGTGCTGTCGAAGCGGCAGCCAAGAATGTGTCAGCCCAGCCGTCTCACGCTGCCTAATGGGCTCTTAAACGCTGATATAAAGCTCACTCGCTCTTTCGCCCTCCCCTTTCCTCTCTCTCTCTCTCTCTCTCCCTCTTTTTCTGCCTCTGCCACTCGCTCTCATTACCTCTCGTTCTCACCCTGTCCCTCACTCTGTCACTCACTTGTCCTCTGCCTCTCTTTCACTCTCTCTCTGTTGCTCTATCAACCCCTCGCGCTCTGTCTTTCCATTTTTTCCTGTTGCTGTCTTTCTTCTCCCCCTGACTTCTCCTTCAATTACTCCAGCCTCACCTCTGAAGCTTTCTTTATTTAAAACTTTTTAATGGATGATCTTAACACTTCTCTGCCTATTTCTCTTTCTTCTCCACCAGGCTCCATAATGCCTTCTACCCTCAGAACCCATCCTTCACCCTCACCCTGTTGCACGTCCTGTCGGCGCCGCTCCATGGCTTGGCCAATGCGTTTGTCTTTGGCTTGGATAGGGATTGGTGGAGCCTACTGAGTCCAACTGGCCTGCAGGTAAAGAAACTGCACATCAATGGCAGCTTTGAGACACACATGTAAATGTACAGACTATTTTTACAGGATGGCCATGGTTTCATACACCCCCAAGTCACTTTTCCATAAAAGTCGAAACTGCAAACTGACTAGGTTGGTTCTGGTAACATTTCAGTAATGCCTCCATTTATACCATGGAGACGCTTGTTTGACAACACAGCCACACTCTCAGATGGGCAAGACTATCGTGTCACATTGAGTGTGTTAACATGGACATGAGCATTCTGGTTAGAAGGTTTATACATTGGGGATATGACACACAAATGTGGTTACAAGTCTCCCCATATACACAAGTGATTTTTGCAAAATTTAAACTGTTATTCTGACATTCCTGTAACCACAAACCTGAAATTTCCTTGACAGTTGCTTTTGACCTGACTTGCATCACTGTACGTGTTGAGAAACGAGGATCCTGTAACTCACCTGCTATAGATTTTATAGATAATATAGATCATTTCCTCCCTTTTGAATGATCAAATACACAAATCAACTATGGCATAAAGACGAGTCACAGGTGAAACAAACAACATTAATTATCTTGTTACAACTGCAACTGTCGAAGGGTTGGTCCAAAGTCCTGTTTCCAGATGAAAGAAAATTTTACATTTCATTTAGAAATTAAGGTGTTTGAAGTCCAGCGTGTAGTTCCTGCAGTCTGAGATGATTTGGGGTGCCATGTTTTCTGTTGGCATTGGTCCACTGTGTTTCATCAAGTCCAAAGTCAATGCAGCATCTGCTAGGAGATGCTTCCATTTGGTGAAAGCCTTTATTGAAATGACAGTTTCATTTTCCAGCAGGACTTACCACATGCCAACTGTGCAAAAACTACGACTAAGTTGGTTGCTGACCATGATATTACTGTGCTTGATTGGCCAGCCATCTTGAATGACCTCAACCCAATAGAACCTCATAAGGAGTATTGTCAAGGAGAAGATAATAAACACCAGACCCAAAAGTCCCTCATGCTACGCTGAACTGATGCTGTAATTCATGATGCTTTAACCAAGTATTAGGTGTACAAGTCAGCATACTTTTTGCAAGCTGGACATTTCTGTAATGTGAATCGTTTTTTGATTGATCATAGGCAACATTCTAATAATTTGAGATACTGGATTTCTGATCTTCACGAGCTGTAAGCCATAATCATCAATATTAAAACTAAAAATGGCCTGAAATATTTCACCTTAAGCGTAATAAATATGCAATGCCTGAAAGTTTACCTTTGTTTTTAAAAATTAGAATATGAAAAAAATATTGACTTTCTCATGACATTCTAATTTATTAAGATAGACTAAAATATGAAACGGTGTCCTGATTTCTTTTGGACTACTACAGCTAGACTGTTTAGGTTTCTCAAAACTACGATAATAACTAATCTTGGTCTCTGAAATCAGGACGTGATATTTACATGCACAAGCACAAAAAAATCAAAGGATACAATAAATGCTGGAACTCATGTCCATGTAAACAGACTATCCTACATACAGATGTTCAGCAGGGCTAACTTTAACCATTTTAATTTTTTTTTTTTTTTTAGTGTTAGTATGTGCCTATAAAGGTATGTGTTAACCTCTGGTGTTGGTGCAAGACGGAAAGTCAGAGATCACCATAGGACTTACAATTCATCCCAAGGTAGACATGAAAATTTGATGGCAATCTGTTTAACAGTGGTAGACCCATGTTTGGCACAACTAAAAAACATCGGCCTCATGGTTGCTTTGGGTAGATAAATGGGGGTCATTAGAGTCACATGTGAATTGTGTGGATCATGAATGTTTTTGAGAAAGTTTTTTTCGTAGATATTTCATGGCAGACCAACATTGTCATTCTTAGAGCGAGCATAGTTAAAAAGCCATTACTTCAACAGATATATGCAGTCAGCAATGTCACAGATTCCGCATCTGAAAGGGCTTTATAAACCTCTGAATGCCATCTGTCCTCTGCAGTGTACCTTTGCTTAGTCCTTTCAGGGTCACATGTGGCGGAAGCCCATCCCAGCATGCTTTGGGTGAAAAGCATATCAATGAATGGCTGAAATAATTCGTTTCCCCCCCCCTGTTCTTCCAGTGTGTGGATGTTTAAAATGCTGTGACATGTTCTACGTTTCTGACTATGTTTTTGTGAAGGCAGATGCAGGTTGTCAGCTGAAGTAAAAGCACATTTATAGACAAGTAACTATACAAGACAAATATACCGAAGGAGACTGGCTCATTTGGAGGCTTAACCACTGAAGGTTTACAACCAGACCAATTCACAAAATCATCCATGTGTCCTTGTTGGATCATTTCTTGCTTAGCCTTTTGTGTACAAACCATTGAATCTGACTGAACCATTTATACCATCAAGGAACTGCTACATCAACAGGTCTCGGACCAGACTTGTAATGAACAGAAGCTGTAAAGCAAAATCTTTTACCCAGGATGAGAAAGTGCAGCAAATACAGTCAAAGGTGAATAGTAAGTACGTCACATTGCTGAAATTGAATGTTCAAAGTCCCTAATTTCAATGCCAGGTGAAGTTACTGCTGAGTGATTAGGACTTATTAACGAGCTTGTCGAGCTTTGAGCAATGTGCAACTGGCAAATGTTTTTCCGCCAAGGACACAGTGTGCGACAGTTGCTGATGTGAACAACGTTGTGATTTAGGAGATGATTTGTGAAAGCTGACAGAAGTCATTTAATAGATTGTAGCCACTGTGAAATTTGAAGTTTTCACAAATTGGAAACGGAACAGTTGAGAGATGGTCAATAGAGAAGCTTGCACAGCATCAGCGGAACAAGTCGGCTGGATGGCTGTTGGTATTTAGACCCTCAAGTCTCTCGTGAGGGGAAATGATATCTCAGGACAGAATGGGATTAGAGCTGGGTATTTTTTTATCTTTTGGTGCTGATTATAATGAATACGAATTTTAAGCACGCTGTGTAATATTTCATTAAATTCTATCCATTCTTTTAAACATCCCTATGGCAGAATGCACTGTATTGAACATGATAATGTGCAAGCCGAGAATTCGGTCACTATTTGTGCACCATTTACAGAAAATTTGGGGATTTCTGACAGTCCTGCTCAAGGTTTCATGTGCAAATTGAAAACGCATGTCTAAACAATGAATTCCCATGCATTTTGACGTTCACAGCCCATTACATAGTCAATATACCTAAACGGTAGAAGGAAACTAGAGTTGAAGCTTAGGAAATCAAGTTAAATAAGACCTGATCTGCACAGCTGATGTAGAGCGCTTCAATCAAAATATGAAAATATGAAAACACTGATTAATTTTGGATTGTTGGCCAAGATATTTAACCCAGACTCCTCGTGCTCAGCTCGGTGGCTCTAACTGTCTCCGCTGCTGTTTGCCTGAGGTGCATTTGCATGATTTAAAGGATAGGCTTCGGTATTTTGTTTATTTATTTTTTATTTTTTCCATTGAAGCACCCGTCATGCCATACTCCCCAGTCAGGCTGTAGTAATTCCTCATTTTCATTCTGAACCTGAAGGGATCCAGTCCTCGTTCGGTTTCAGAATCTCCACGTTTCAGATTGATTCACAGTTTGGATTGTTGGCCAAGCTGTTTAAATTTAAGACAAATCTTTTAATTAATTGATAAAAATGATTATCAGGATGCGGTCCCAAAATTATTGCAAATGCGTTTTGCATTATAATCAGTGTGTAGGAATGTTAATGCCAATTCCTCAACAATTCTGCTACATACTACATATTTTTTCCCCTGTTCCTCTTGAGAAATAATTGCTACAGAATTTGCAATTAGACTATTTAACTTCCCACATTGACTGCTGCCATCTGTCACAGGTGTTCACTCATCACCTATACAGGGAATAATTGTTGGGTCTGATACCAAAAGTGTCTTTTTCAAATCGGAAAATTACAATTCAGTGACTTTATTTTTCCGTCTCACTCTCTAAATCAGCTTTTAGGAAAATGTAATGAGGATGAAATTATTAGAAAGATTATCTTTTTGTTTTTCCTCACACACATTTGGACCACAAACCTCATTGGTTGCATTTCAATAAACACCACAATCAATATAGTTCTCCACAGATTTGTCTCAATCTGCAAACATTGACTGTACCTGCAGATACGAGCCAGAGCTGGTATTGAACCACGAGCACAAAAAAAAAAAATCTCTGTGGTCCGAGTTCACGTGCGCACACAAACACACGCGCACACACAAATGTTGTCACCTACTCAGTATCACCAACCACGCTGATAACGGGTCATGAGCACAATGTGGAAGAGTGGAATGTGTGGTATGACCTTCAACCCAAATGTCAATGTTGCACTGTGGTGAGTTAGGAGAGAGACACAGAGAGACAGAGGAGTGAAATGGAATCTCAATGTGTTCGTAAATCACAGACAAAATGCTGTTTGTGTGTGTCAGAGGAGGAAGAGAAAGAGAGAGAGAGAGAGAGGAGGTGAGGAAGAAGACGACAGAGAAAGAGCGGCAGCGAGAGAGAGAGACAGGCGGCGTGTGTGTTCGTGCGCTATCGTGACTAACAGCCGGTTGTTATTCATCTTGGCATGCGGCTCCCAGCAGCCCCCACACATCAGGTGTGAGATTGGCGGTGGAGAGGAGGGGTAAGGGAGAGGAGGAGGCGGCGGCGGCGGCGGCGGCGGCGGCAATGGTGGGGGTGAGGTGGTGGGGGGTTGTAACAGCGTCAAAACATTCCTCTGTCAATGCGACGAATCTGTGCTTTTGTACCAGACAGCCCCCCCACCCCCACCACCAGCACCAGCAGCCCTCCTAACCCCGACTCCTCGTGCTCAGCTCGCTGGCTCTAACTGTCTCCGCTGCTGTTTGCCTGCGGTGCATTTGCATGATTTAAAGGATAGGCGCCGATGTTTTATTTATTTATTTATTTTCCTATTGAAGCTCCCATCGTGCCGTACTCGCAAACGTGCCGTATGCACTTTGAAAGTTGCTGGCTGTAATCATTGCTCAT